ATAAATAAATAAAAACACTATGTATTGGAGGGAAGTGCTTTTCAAGATCCAGAAAGAATCGTTAGCTGGGGTTTAAGCAATTGTTTCTAGAAATTGATTTGGTTAAGGGCGCACCTTAGGTATGTGCATCAGTGTCGATTTCCTATTTATTGCATTATTTTCTTCTTTACTTTGGGAAACTTGGAGGTTCAGGCACTGGTTTAATGTGTCCTTCGCTTACTGCTGAGCCGTGAACAGTAATAAAAGAGGGTGGTTCGTGTATGGTACTTGATCAGCCCATTCCACTAGACTGATTGGTGGTCAAAAGTATCGATCCACTCCACATATCTGGCATGTGTCTATTTTCACCAGTCAGCTTAGCTGTTTGACATCATGGAGTTTTATATTGGCCTTGTTTTGGTAATAAGACATGAATCCAATTTAAATCTTCGTAAGATACAACGCCTGGTTCCTCTGTGACTAGCACTCACTCTACGAATTAATTCTGAAAAAACCGTTGGACTTGGTTTCCAGTGCTTGGATAACTCAACTTTACCACTCACTAACTGTGGCTTTTTGTTTTTTTAATGTTTATTATTTTTGAGAGAGAGAGAGAGAGAGAGTGTGTGTGAGCAGGAAAGGGGCAGCAAGGGAGACCCAGAATCCGGAAGCAGGCTCCAGGCTCTGAGCTGCACAGAGCCCAACATGGGGTTCGAACCCACAAACTGTGAGATCATGAACTGAGCCGAAGTTGGAGGCTTAGCCAGACTGAGCCACCCAGGCACCCCAACTGTGGGGTTTTTTTAGTCCCATAGCTCTGAACTGAAAAACAATACCAAAAGCAAATTCCATTTCTTAAGGATGTCAAGAAAGGTGAGACATTTGAATCTTCTCAGCCACAGATTTCTCCTGGTGAAATAGGAATATCTACGTCCGTGGTCAGGAGAGTGAGATGGAATAACGCCTGTAAAGCACTCAATACACTATTATCAGTATTTTGATATCATTATTAGTACAATTGGTATTGTTAAAGCACTGGTAAACAATGATGTGCCTGCCTTACAAGTCTAAGATGTTATAATAGCTCTGTGGAAAGAAATATGTCAGAAATGAAGATATATATATAGAGAGAGAGAGAGGGAGAGGGAGAGAGATGCGCATAAAAATGTAGGTGTATATGTCAAAAATACATATCATCTTATCCATTTGCTCAAGCATTCCCTGAGTGTCTCCTGAGAACCAGGCACTCTGTGGGCACCCTGGAGTTAGACAAATAAGAAACAGCCCTTGTTTTGGGGGGAGTCCTCAGAATAATCAAAGATCAATGGTAAACCCTGATGTGGAAGCCCTGGGACTCAGTTTCCTCAGTGCTGGGGGAATGGCCTGTGTTCAGAAGGAAGCAGAAGGGGATTCTGCCGCATGTACAGGCTCCTAGGAGACCTGCTGAAGCCAGGCTGGCGGGGGTGAGTGGATCACCTTTCTGTCCTAAGGGAGGAGCAGGAAAAAACAGGAGCACTACCCATGGTTCTCAACTCCCAAACCAGCAGCCAAGCCCAGAGCTTTACTGACAAGCGTAGGGTGACCTTAAACACGGTGGAGAAACACTACACAGTGAATGAATGAAAACACACCTGAATAATAATAATGGCAAACATTGACATCGTTGTGTTATGTAGCTAAGTTATATATGTCAGTGCTTTGCATGTTAACTCATGAGTGGAAGCAAACTTTCCCCAAGAGCCGATGGGCTCCACGAAGAGGCAACATCTAGAACCCGAGCCTTCTGCCCTCTTGTCTGTTCTTTCCACTTCTGCTGGGATTTGCTGAAACGTGACCTGCGCAGGCTGAAAGGCCTCGTATTTGAATCGACTGTGACCCCTTGGGGTCTGTGTAAGCTGAAGTCTGCCTAAGGCCAGAAGACATTTCTAGAGGAAACGTCCCCTAAAAAGGGGAGCAAAGCCTTTGTCCGTGAGGGTGCTCCCCAGCCCCATCCCTGCCACTGCCCCCGGGGAGCCCCCCTCCCTGGTCAGCGATGGCAGAGGGGGTGTTGATAGGCAGAGACTCAGCACGGGGGCCCAGAAGTACTTTTGTCTGCTTGCTTAGTTTACTTTTTCATGGGGAAAAATGCCATTACCAGAGGCCATCCTAGGGCAGGAAATTTTTGTCACTCTAGCGGCCACAGTCAGAAGGTGGTAAACGGACTTGAGGGCAGGAGGCTGTCAGAAAACCAGGGCAGGAGTGGAAGCGGCTTACTTAGGCTGGGGGCTCAGGTTAGTGTCGGCCCTGCCGGCTCTAGGAACTCGACTTTCTGGGAATTCTCACATCCCTGGATTACCTTGGGAGATGCAGGTTTTTTCTTCTCTATTCCTTTTTTTTTTTTTTTCAATAAAAACTATCTTTTTTTAAAGCTGTGTTTCCACCATTTTTTTGTTATTTTCTAATTTGTTACTACCATCTCGTCCTCTATACATTCATGTACTTTTTTCCTCATTCCTCTCATCTATTATTTTGACTGTCCAGATAGTACATGAACCAAAATAGCTGTAGGATGGGAGAGAATAAAGGGCTAAAAAAGAAGAGATGGGGCTTTGGAGTGACTGACAACCTAGTTTCAAATCCCGGCTGTATCATTTGCAAGCTGTGTGACCTGGGGAAAATGAAATCTGCTTCCTTATTCGTAAGTAGGAACTAGATGACTTACTCAGTTGCTGTGTGGTTTAAATTTTTTTTTTTTTCAACGTTTATTTATTTTTTTGGGACAGAGAGAGACAGAGCATGAACAGGGGAGGGGCAGAGAGAGAGGGAGACACAGAATCGGAAACAGCCTCCAGGCTCTGAGCCATCAGCCCAGTGCCTGACGCGGGGCTCGAACTCACGGACCGCGAGATCGTGACCTGGCTGAAGTCGGACGCTTAACCGACTGCGCCACCCAGGCGCCCCGCTGTGTGGTTTAAATGATACAAAAAGGAGGGGAAAAAATATACAGTGCCCAGGAATAAGGATTTAATAAATGGTGTCAGTTATTGTATTAATTATTGTTAATTGCTATATTAGAATGTCAGGCAAGAAAAAGGGCGATTCTTGACCACATATTTTCTCTCCTCGTTTTATTTTACAAGCCTTGCTGGACCAGTTCCCCTGCTTATAATGTTCCCTGTACCCAAGTTACAAATCAAGCAGATGACGGACACCTTGAATAATTGAGAACTACAGTTACAATTTTTGAGGATAACGGATTCCAAAATCCAGCCAAGAACAACCACCTCATCTGAAAAGCCTCACTCCCTACAGAATATTTATAAGGAGAAAAATCAAGGGGTAAAACAAATTCACTCAGATCTTTTTTCCCCAGAAAGTCTTTTAATAGTCCTCCCATCTCAGAGAAGCTGACAGAATGTCATGCCCTTGACAGACTTTGTTGTGGTAGAATTGAGGAATTAGGAAGTTAGACTTCTATGAGTATTACCTGTGATATTAGAATAATTCTTGCAGTTAAGAAAATGAAAGTCTTGGGGCATCTGGGTGGCTCAGTGGAGCGTCCGACTTTGGCTCAGGTCATGATCTCGCCGTTCACGAGTTCGAACCCCACGCCAGGCTCTGTGCTGACAGCTCAGAGCCTGGAGCCTGTTTCGGATTCTGTGTCTCCCTCTCTCTCACCCTCCCCCATTCATGCTCTGTCTCTCTGTCTCAAAAATAAATAAACGTTAAAAAATAAAAAAAAAAAGAAAAGAAAGAAAGTCTTGCATTTGCTCTGATTTTGAAATGAGGCCCAACCTCTTCCGGTGAGTCTGAGTTAAACCCACACATTTCACTGAATACAAATAATGACAGGGGACACGCATCAGCTTATGATCCGCCAGGAATAAAAAGTCAGTGCTCTCCTCCTTCTCTCTGAAGTACTCCTTGGTATGACCAGAAAGAAGACAAGCCTGGTTTGGTTTTTGTTTGTTCCCACACATAAATTAACTGCATGGACTGCAGAATTTTACTCCCTGTGTTGTATTAGAATTTCAAGGAAGAAGTTTTTATTTTATTTTTAAATTTTTTTTTTCAACGTTTATTTTATTTTTGGGACAGAGAGAGACAGAGCATGAACGGGGGAGGGGCAGAGAGAGAGGGAGACAGAATCGGAAACAGGATCCAGGCTCTGAGCCGTCAGCCCAGAGCCTGACGCGGGGCTCGAACTCCCGGACCGCGAGATCGTGACCTGGCCGAAGTCGGACGCTCAACCGACTGTGCCACCCAGGCGCCCCGAAGTTTTTATTTTAAAAGCACCTGCCAGGGGCGCCTGGGTGGCTCAGTCGGCTAAGTGTCCGACTTCACCTCAGGTCATGATCTCGCGGTCTGTGAGTTCGAGCCCCGCGTCGGGCTCTGTGCTGACAGCTCGGAGCCTGGAGCCTGCTTCGGATTCTGTGTCTCCCTCTCTCTCTGACCCTCCCCCGTTCATGCTCTGTCTCTCTCTGTCTCAAAAATAAATAAATGTTAAAAAAAAAAATGTTTAAAAAAAAATAAAAGCACCTGCTACATTAAAAAAAAAAAAACAATAAAACAAAATAAAAACACGAGAATTACTCTCTCAGTATCTCCTGTCATTTCTCCAAGAGACCAGTTAGGTAATGACAGAACAGACTTTCTTTTACAAGCACAGAAACCACACCAACACTTATTTTTGTTTGTTTCACATCTCACATAATTTGTAGATGCTGAATTTTGAGTCAATTTTTTGGCCTGTTAATGAAGCACTCAGGAGACTTGGTATTTTTGGTACATCTTACTATGTCTATAACCCTTGCTTCGATGGGATTTCACTTTAAATACAACAGCAACATTTTAAACAGGAGTGGTGGATGAAAGAGACAACAGTTAACATTGTTTTCCATCTTTTTATTATCTGTATTTTACATACACACTATCCACCTAGCATGCTAAATTTCTTCTAGAAGGTGACCATTTTCCATCACATAAGCCATAATTGCATTTCATCAAGCTGCAGAAGTTGTTAGCTAAGGAAGAAAGGGTTCTCATATTTAAGTGGGCTCTCTTTGGGCATGGTAGTGAAGTCTTGCTCTCGGAATCAATTCTCTTTTTTTGTTGGTTATCTACATAAACTTTCCATATTCATTGAGAATATTCAAAAACTCTAGGTTCTTGTCCTGAGAAACTGGATTTAATATTAAACGATTTCTTTTGCCTATGTAACCTTTTTCTAGCGTTTGGGCTGAGAAATGCTTTCCTTGTACAACATGAAAACAGATATCGACGGTGTGTACAGCAGTGTTCTTATTCCAAACCCAAAGAGAAAATATCAAAGTATGTATCTCAGTTGTGCAGGTTTTGATTCTTCAGACCTGACATAAGGAAGAATCTCCCCCCAAGCCTCTTAAGTAATGGAAAATGGGAAAGTTTGTGTATTTCCTTCGCCGGCTTTGGGAAGGGCAGAGGTTAAGAGGGGAAGGATGTGGACATCTAGTCCCTATCATGCTCAGAAATCTCAAGAGCTGACCACCTCTTCCACTCACAGAGCCAACACAGCTCCTTCATTTTCGCCTGGAGCAGAACCTCAAGCAGCCTTGGAGTTGCACAGCTTACGTGAAACAATGGGAAAGAACTGCTTTGGATTGCATGATTGACTTTTAAGGTGTTCCAACTGTGAACGTCCTGGTATGCAAATTATGTGACGTCAGCTCAAATGAGGGGCCACCGCAATGATGAACCACCTTTGAAGATACGCCAGTGTTCAGAAAAGAGGCCAGTGTTGACTCAGCTATGGCACTGAGAAGCAGCCGCCTGACTGGTTTCTCCATCTTAGAAGTTTTCTTTCCCCAGGAAGGTTTTCATCAAGGCAACAACGTAGCCAGACAATTAACGCGGTGTTGCTTTAGCCCTAATAACTCAATTTCCAGGGTCACCTCCCTCAGTCGGCTTTGCAAATTATGCCACTTGTTAAGAACTATTTCCATACAAAATGGAAATTCAAGGAATTCAATTTTCAAACTATTTATATTCTCAGTGCTCGTTTTTCTAGTCATCATGGACTATTATGATTCCTTGATTATTCATAACTCTTTTCCCAACTTCCAGACCATACTCATGTAATCCACTTCCATTTTCATAGATGATTAGAGGTATTTGTGACATATTAAAGAAAACGGGAAACATGCAAGTGTTTCATTAGTCTTCAGTTTTAAAGAGCAAGTCAATAAATACAAAGGAAAATATTAGTCCAAATATGTGAATTGTCAACATTCTCTCCCTATATATTATATATATAGTATATATGTATTATATATTATTTTTAACAGAAAACATGGATGACACAAAAAACAGCAGCAATATCTTGCTTCACCAAGAACCAGGAAACCAAGAAGATATCTTTATTTACGTCGCCTGCAGAATCCTCTGAAATGTAGGAACCTAAAACAAGTGGTGCATTTTTTAGACATTAGGATTAAGGTATTCTTTCATTCAAATTTTTCTAACACTTATTGAGTGATGAGCTAGAAAGAAATGTGCATTTTAAAGGAGTTCCAGAATTTGAGGATTTGAGCTAGGAAAATCCTCATTATAGAGGAATAATGACCGCAACAAATTTGAACTCTGAGGAATTTTTTGGCAGGTATGTAACTGATACCTTATCATGTTTCAGTAGGGCTCACAAGAGGTTTGAGTGAAGTATGGTGCTATTAGAATTTGTAAAGGGTGAAAGATCAGATGAATGGAGGGTCAGAAGGAAAGCAATGTCCACTGCTTGTGCTCAGTGTGAATTCTAGCATCTCACTTTGTGTATGTCAATAATGAAACCATATTTCCTACATGGCTCATAAACCAGTCTTAACTGCTTTACAGTCCTACTTCACATTCAATGATAATTTTTTTTTTAACTTTTTACAATGTTTATTTTTGACACACAGAGAGAGAGAGAAATGAGCAGGGGAGGGGCAGAGAGGGAGACACAGAATCTGAAGCAGGCTCCAGGCTCCGAGCTGTCAGCACACAGCCCAACACGGGGCTTGAACTTCCGGACCGTGAGATCATGACCTGAGCTAAAGTTGGATGCTCAACCCACTGAGCCATCCAGGCACCCCTAAAGCGCATTGATAATTCTGATACAACTTTGGTTGCTTTTTTAACAGATTAAGCAATCAATAAGGTCTATATTTAACAGTTTTTAAATTCCTATTTGCCAACAGTTTACTTACCTCAGGTATACTTGGTAATACCCTAAATTGAAAGTAGAAAATCCCAGAGATTAAATGCCCTTATTTTAAGGGGGAAAAAAGCAAGTGTCTGTGCCAGTTTCACCAGTTAACACTTTTATATGGGAGATTTTCATAGAAATAGTTAAGATAGCTTTCTCTGAACCTCATTTTTTTTTTTAATTTTTTTTTTCAACGTTTATTTATTTTTGGGACAGAGAGAGACAGAGCATGAACGGGGGAGGGGCAGAGAGAGAGGGAGACACAGAATCGGAAACAGGCTCCAGGCTCTGAGCCATCAGCCCAGAGCCCGACTCGGGGCTCGAACTCACGGACCGCGAGATCGTGACCTGGCTGAAGTCGGACGCTTAACCGACTGCGCCACCCAGGCGCCCCTGAACCTCATTTTTTGAGGAACGAACGATGAAGTTTGTCATAAAACCACTTTCTGGTTTGAGTGGTGTGTGTGCTGGCATAGAACAGCCAAGTTTATTTGGCAGAAAGCACTTGAAATGTCATTAGAATCTTTATCAAGTAAAAGTAGCTTGAATTATATTGTCATGGTGGAATATACTATTCACTTCATTTAAAAAAACGGGTTCTTTTTTTTTTTATTTAAAAAAAAATTTTTTTTAACGTTTATTTATTTTTGAGACAGAGAGAGACAGAGCATGAACGGGGGAGGGTCAGAGAGAGGGAGACACAGAATCTGAAACAGGCTCCAGGCTCTGAGCTGTCAGCACAGAGCCCGACGCGGGGCTCGAACTCACGGACTGCGAGATCGTGACCTGAGCTGAAGTCGGACGCTTAACCGACTGAGCCACCCAGGCGCCCCCAAAAAACGGGTTCTTATAGTCAGATCATATCAAGAGGAAATCCACAAATTTCAATTTCAGGAATGGTAACTTCCGCAATTTCCAAAACGGACGTATTACACTTTTCAATTTGGGCTGGAAGGTAAGTGATACGTTAACTGATCTCCTTAAGTTGGAGGATGAGACAGAGAGGATGGGGCTTGAGGAAGTCATGACATGCAGTTAATTCTTTGAGGAAAACACAGATTTCGCCACAATGCAGCATAAAGGCTCTTGTCCAAGGGCCAAGCACTATTAGAAGGGAGGGGCAGTCTCTATATAGTCACTTCAGATATTTATTAAGAATAAGTTGAATTAAAAGGAGAATCTTGAAAGCAATTAACTACTTTTAATGTCTAAGAATAAATGAGAAAAAAAAAGGGGAGGGCCAAGAATGGGGACTAGACTGCAGGTGAGTTCCTAGAGAGGGGACCTAGATGGGATTGAAAGCAATTACATCCAGAAGACAATACAGATGTGTGCAAGAGAAGATTTAGGAAGAAATATCTGACCAAAAAAATAATATATATATTTTAGAAAAAAAAATCAACAATCATCTTGTAGAAACTTTTAAATATTTAAAACCAACCTAAGAGGAAGGACACGGACCGGGACTAAGTGATCTCTCAAGATTCCTTTTAAAATCCTCTAAGTCCAGGGGCATCTGGGTGGCTCAATCTGTTAAGTGTCTAACTTCAGCTCAGGTCATGATCTCACAGCTTATGAGTTCGAGCCCCGAGCTGGGCTCTGTGCTGACACCTCAAAGCCTGCAGCCTGCTTCAGATTCTATGTCTCCCCCTCTGCCCCACCCCTGCTCACACTCTGTCTCTCCTTCAAAAATAAATAAACATTAAAATTTTTTTTAAAAAATCCTGTGAGTCCAATAAGTAATTATATGTATAAAGAACTCGTTTACCCTTAAATCTCATTAAAGGGAAAGACTGAGTAAATTAACATCAAGATGGAAAACAGCTGAAGAAGAATACGCTAGATGCAAAGAACTATTAGTATTCCCATGTTCATCACAGCACCATTCACAATAGCCAAGAAGTGGAAAACCCTTAATGCCCACCAACAGATGAACGGGTAAAGAAAATACGGCATATACATACAATGGAATACTATTCAGCCTTTGAGAAGAAGGAAATTCTGCAATTTGCAACAACAGAGATGAACCTCGGACATCACGCTAAAAGAAGTCGATCAGTCACAGAGAGACAAGTACTGTATGACTCCACTGACGTGAGGTATCGAAAGTAGTCAGACGCATAGAATCAGAGTAGAATAGAGGTTGCCAAGGGAGGGAGAAATGGGAAGTCACCAGTGAACGGCATAACGTTTCAGTGAAGTGAGATGAGGAAGCTCTACAGGTCTGCTCTACTAGAATTTAAAAGCTGTCAAAGAGGGTAGATCTGTTAAATGTGATCACAATAAAATAAAATTTAAAAAAGAATATGCTACATATTTAAACTGAAATTCTATAGCACTCACAAAAGAACATGTCTAATATATAATCTAGGAAGTTCTTGAGGATATACACATTGAACTCTTCAGAGAGAAGCACATTAGAGTCAAAAAAAAAAAAAAAAAAAACACTTCTGGAATTTTGGTTCCCAGGAAAAACACGGTAATAAGCGACTGGTATACAGGTCCTCCAGAAAAGTGTCATCTTACTCAAGGTGCTAAACTTAGATAGACAATGAAAGGAAGAATGACTTTAATATTGTTTAGTATTTCTTTGTAGTTTGTTAATTCTTCACAATAATGAATGGAATAAGAAGGAATGTCTTAAGCAAAAGCATTGTAGTAATTTCTCTTTACAATTATTAACTTCATTCCTAATTCCCTAAATTGAACACCAAAGCATACCCGCAGTCTACATCCATGTGAAATGCTACAATCTGTAAATAATTTTTTCAAAATGGTTAATATTTTGTATTGAGTACTATATAGCTGTGTACATGAGCTAGAAATTTTGCAGGGGTAGGAGAGAGTGTGAGCACAACCATGATCACAAGTAGTAAACACAATACAAACAATGGTCCAAAACCTAAATGAAAATATTCATGCCAAAGCTTTCTCTATGAATATATGATCCAGTTCAAGGAAGTACAGAATGTCATATACATAACTGCATCATGTTACAATGTTTAATTACTTCTACACAAGAAGAACTTAGCTATTTCAATTCTATTTTATACAGTTTTACATAAATTTAGTAAGTTTATGCACAATATTCCTCTGCAGCAATAATAAGGTCAGTCAATTAAAAATTCAAGGCAAGACAGTGATTCAGAACCATACGATAATGTTATTATAATTACAGAATGCCGTTCATCGAGCTCGTAATCTAATTTTATTTCATTGTATTTTCATTTATTCTTGTATTCTTGCTTCTTTACTTAACTTAACAACTAAATTGATGGCACGATTTAACTCTTATGGATCAAATCATCCATACAACAACAAAGTGTTAAAAAAAAATTGCTATAGTCAAATGGGTCATGAATATCAAAATATATGATCATAATTTGCTCTCCTACACTTAGAAACATTTTTATACCAATCAAAGTTAAAAAAGTATTTCAAAGTTCTCAAAACTATAAAATAATCAAAGCCTTTCTAAGAGATATGGAAACCTGAATTTGAGTTACTATTTTAACATTACTGTGAGGAAACTATTATCAAATTCTTCATTCCACATTAAAATTAGTTAAGACAAAATGTTATTTGTACACTGCATTGAGGTCTTTGTGTTTCCCTCTTTTTCTTCAAAATGAACTAATCTATACCAGCAGCTTTGTCTTCTTCTATTAAAAAATCTTGTGGGTATGTACTTTTATTGTACTCATGAGCTGATTTTAATTCACATTTCTATGCTGAGGTTTACGGAATTCCTACTAACGATGCCAACAGGCTTGTTAGAGCCAGAGGACGCAGTACCACCCTAATAATATTTTATTAAAAATAATTGCAACAAACATCTAAAATATATGGAGGAGAGCCAGTAAGAACTCAGAAGATGACTTTTTTAGTTAAAAGAAAAGAAAAGCCCTTTTGTTTTCTTTAAAACAGGATAAATTAATTGAGAGTTAATAAGCACACACACACAAAAAGGTTCATTCTGATAACATTAGTGTAATGCTGGTAAATTATTCAGGACTATAAATGAGATTTAGCTAGATGAAAACTAGTGATTACTCAAAACACATATATAATTTGTTTGTTCCATTTTTTTTATTGAATATGTATTGAATTGGGTGGTCAAGATAGAGCTAGCGCGCACTTATTGGGAAGTAAAGGGTGAACAAATATTCTAACCTGAATCCTCATGGTTTACTATCTTAAAAAAAAAAAAAA